GGCTTAATTACCTACTTAGTCCCCATGTTCGGAGGTAATTTGCTGTTTAGTACCCGGTTTTAAAAATGTAGGCATTTGATACCTATGTTTTGAAATTTGTATCAATTGAATCCTACCCACTTAACGCCGTTATAAATCTAACGTTTTTTCTGACTGTGTATGTGATTTGTGGACGAGCGTTCGCTTCGTTGGACGAGCGTCCTCTTCTGCCTGACTGGGCGTTCGCTTCGCTGGACGAGCGTCCTCTTCTGCCTGACTGGGCGTTCGTTTCGCTGGACGAGCGTCCTCTTCTGCCTCGCTGGACGAGCGTCCTCTTCGCTGGACGATCGTCCTCGTCGCTCGTCCACAAACGCTCGTCCACAAATCACATACACAGTCAGAAAAACGTTAGATTTATAACGGCGTTAAGTGGGTAGGATTCAATTGATACAAATTTCAAAACATAGGTATCAAATGCCTACATTTTTAAAACCGGGTACTAAACAGCAAATTACCTCCGAACATGGGGACTAAGTAGGTAATTAAGCCTATTAAAAAATAATACTATAGCAATTTAAAATTAAAAAATTAGATGTGTCATCTTATTAATAATCACAAAGTAATAATGTTTATTAACTTAATTCAATATGTAGTTGGATATAATTAAATTAATAAACGTCTTTAAATAGTCTAAATAAGGATTGTAATATATTTAAAATACTTTTTTGGTTACTAATTTGTTAAATAAGGATTGTATAAAAATATTTTTTAATTTTTTTAATTTCCCTCTTCTCTTAAGGAAAATTTAAATCTCAATGAACTTTTTCAGAAACTAAATTTCAAACTGATTTTTTGCGCAGTTTGGACACAACAAAGATCAGAATTTATCACTTCAGTAACTGAACTTATCCTAATGAACCCTACTGTTTATACAAATATTGCAGAGTATACTAGGCAGGAAATTTTTTTGTGGTCGTAAGAATTCACCTTTTGTTTTCGGTGTCTTTTTTGCAATATAATGAAGTCTATAAGTAAGATGATTATACAACATGATTATCCTAAAAGCTTGATGCATGAGTGTGGAAACGTGGAAGAATATTTTCTGGATTACATCATTGTGTTGTCGTGAATCAAAGGTTTAAATAATTAGGGCACATAATTTATTAGCGTTTGAATAATTAGGGCTTGTTATGAGGTTGAAATGAAGCAACTCAACCAAGTTTCGTGGACATTGGTTGTCATTGAACAGCTTTCTATTGTCCTTTTCTTGACATTATATGCTGTTTCCACTTTTAACATTATGATGTGTTCATATGAATTCACTATATATTTGTGTCAGAATGATGTGTTTCTCACATTGTCACGTCAAATCTATCACTAAAGTAGTGTTTTTACCCTTTCCCTTTTGTATTATGGCCATGTTGGGGCATCAATGTCTGTCCAAAATATTTGGGACATTTTTTTTATTGAATAAAAAATTAATATTTGGAAGCTAAACTTTTCTGAGATTGTGATTAAAGTTACGAAATTTGATATCATAAATTTTAATGTAGTGAAAATTTTATTTCTCTATATTTTATAACCTATATTTTCGTATTCATTGATGTACCAACTTTTGAAGGTTTGATCATTTTCAACTTTATACTTGTGCATGGCTTGAGACCTAGGAGTATCGTATTCTAGATTTGTGTGAAGTTAGAACAAGAGATAAGATGTTTACTAATTGAAGTATGTTTAAGGTTGATGTTTGCGTTACGGAGCCATGGGCTGTGCTTATAATGATTCCTCGACATTAGGTTTCCATGGTGTATGATAAGACCGTATATTTCAAAAAGAAAATATACCTACCTAGCTATCGTTTCCATTCATGACATTTTACATTAAAAATGCTAAAGATGATACAAGGATATTAACAAATACATAAAGTGTGGTTGAACATTTCATTTCATTTCAAATGTGATAAATATATAATAATCACATGATCCCTTTCTACATTAATGGAACGACATTATACAAAAAAGTACTTTGGAAAACAAGTATAACACAAAACAAGAATGAATACAGAGATAGGGAGGATGAACGAATATGGAAGGATGATGAAGCACACACAACCAAAGCCTTGCCATAAACCCAACACTTTGTATGGTGCATAAATGAAACATATGGAAGATTTGTGACTTTTGGTTAGAAAAATAGTGCATAAATAAACTTTTGTCAGTTTGAACATCTAGAACCGAATATGTAAGGGCTGAAGGGCCCATTCCCCTCACTCCTTCCAGAAGCCCAAACACAGCTGTTACTCCAGCTCCAGCTGTTGAGAAACCGTTAGAGGAGAGAGCCAAAAGAACCACAAAACAGCCTCGTTACCTAAAGGATTATGTGGTCACGTGTCCAGCAACCAGTAAGAAGGGGAATTCGGTTAGCAAGAATTGATTGGAATTATTTTGTATTTTTTCCTTTATTTGTTATATGCACATGATCAGTACTGCAAGGCAGAGCCAATCGCATATATAATACAGTATTGTAATAGAGAGGGGACGACAATATATAACAGAAAAAATTCCCTCTAAAATTTTCTCTCTTCATCTCTGAATATTCTCTTTCCTCTGCCATCACCCTTTTCTATTTCCTGCAGCATCCTTACATTGGTGCTTTCATTGACCCTTACTCCATGGCAGAATCTTTCCTCCCCCATGATGAGCTCACCAAATTAAATATAAAGCTTGAACAACTTTTACTCTCCCATGCTAACCTTTCCAACACCCTCCACGATATCGCCAACCGCACCACAATACTGGAAACTCAACCTCACCAAATGTAATAAGGTGTTACAAAGTGAATGACGATAATTTAGAGTTTTTGGATTCAAACGAACAATGCTATTTTAAAGAATTTAAAAGTAGAGGTTGAGAAAGTGTTTACTGTAATATATATTAAAGAAGGGTCTAAATCCTAAATAAATATTCAAACTTTTTTTAATTATGGTTGGTATTTGAGTTCAATTACATACCTACAATCAATGCAAATAATATAGCCATAGACTTAGTGTCTTAATTCTTCTCCTTGAAGAACAAAAGGTTTTGATATACAAACCAAGGGACTTTGGTACATGCAGTAACACTGATTCATGCAGATGAACATTGTCCTGATCGTGATAATTGAATGGCAGTAATTAATATATAGCCTTTGTAATAACCGTAAACCACCACTTTCTTAGTTGAAGAGGATGAAAATCATTGCATTTTCTAAGTTATCACCATACTACTTTGTAAGGATATGAAATAAGAGGAGGAAAGTGGGTTGCTTTTTGAAACTTGTTTATATTCTTCCCAAATTCTACCACTTTTTTTTTTCTTTTTTAAATAGAGTTAAATATATTTTTAATATTGTATCTTATCTTTAAACTAAATTATAAAATATTTTATCTCTACTTTTTATGAAGTTACATAAAATATTCTCACCAACAAATGGTACATGACATTCATTGTATAACATAAAACACTTCACAAACCATTTGTTAAAAAAATTTTGTAACTTTCATAAAAGTATAAAGACAAAATACTTTTTAATTTAGTCTAATTTTTTTCATAATAATTTAAACATAAAAACATATTTAATCCTTTAAACCTTCAAACACAACACATTCTGATAATAATTCTTTAAAGATGCATTTTTGCTGTCTTATTGGTTATTTTGGTCAATTTCAAGTTCCCTCAAATTACCATACCTAGCTATTAGTAAAACCCGAGTTTTTGATGTATAAAGATGGAAAGTGTTATTATGTTTAGACTCTGAACCTTTCAAACTGTAATAGTTTTCCTGCAATAGTTTTTGAAGGGACATAGTTTACTATAATACTTATTACTATATATGTAGTGTTTTTCCTACTAAAACTAACAAATTATTGAGTTTTAATCGTTAAAGTATAAAGTTTCATATAGTTTGTTAAAGTACAAAGTATTGAATATGGTTTAAATAAATGAAATTGGTTTGATATAGTTATATATGAGTTTAATGTAAATGAAAATTATGTATTAAATTTAAATGATCATGGTTGAATTGAAATGCGTAAATTATGGTTGTAGTAATCTTTTTAAATTTCTTTGAAAGTTGTATATGTTAACTTGGTTTTGAGTAAAACCATGGAAAACAATTTTTGTTGGGCTGCATGAAGTTGATTTTTTTAGGATGACAAAATGGTTGTGGCCTACAGGTAAACTTGCCAGCCCGGGTTGAATTTTCAAGCTGCTAGTTGGTTTTAGTCTGGTCTCCTGTCAAATTGATGGGCCAAAGACAAGCCCACCCACTAGCTTTTTTTAAAAAAAAATAAAATTAAATAATTAATTTTTTATATGATATTTTTTAAAAATGTAAATACGTAATAATATAGTGTTGTAATTTCATTAATTAACACTTCCAAAAAAATATCAATTATTAATTTCTTTTTCTTCATCTTCGCTTTGATGAGAGTTGCAATTAACTCAAGAATATTTTTACTCTTAATCGATTCAAATTGACACTTGGTTCACAAAAGTATTTATTCACAATCATAAATCATAAAGCAAGCTGTGGATTAAAATTAAACCAACATTAGTATACATACTGATGATCTAGAATTGGTACTGATGTATTCCAATTATACTATAAATTATATAAGTCATTACATAATGATAAATTACTAGTTTCACATCAAATTTCCTTCAAATATTTGTTTGGTATTTGTTCTTCCAAGTAAATGTAGAAATGACCCAAAGCTCCAGTATGAAACTTGTTTTCATATATGGATTCCAGTGTTAGAATTTCTCCATCTTCGATCTTGATGGAACCGGGTTTGGGATAACAAACTGACATTCCAACTAGGTAACCCTTTTCATTTCCTGCTTCTTTTCCAGTTCCGTATTTTGGATTTGAAGTGCATAAAACCCTTCCATCCTAAGTTAAGTATCATCATAAATATAAAGATGATTCAATAAACTAGTTAACTTCTTATAAAGATATATAAAGATATATATAAGTATCAACAAAATTTATTCCTAATGAATATATGAATTACACAAAAGTTAATATAAGCTTATCTACATGATATAGCTTATATGGGAACAACAAATATCAAACATTACTTGTCCATATAGAGTAACATTGACAACACCAGTATGCAAATGAGCAGTGCCATATATAAGATAACCACCTTTTATCATTGGGATGTTTGCTTTCTTAACATGAGGAAAGTCACTGTCATGATTTCTCGGGATCGTATACTCTGCCTATAACAAATTGACGAATTTATTTTACTCACGTATCGACAAAAAAAGTAATTAATACCCTAATAGTTTTGTTTTGAAAAAAATTAGTTTCCAATGTTTGCTTATAATTTTTAAAGTATAGTAGTATGTATTGAACAAATCATCTACCTGACAATCATGAATTGCTGTAGAACCATTTGATCTTACACGATCAGTTGAATCAAGTATGTAGAACTTAAGAGGCGCTTGGTGTTCATCCCAATCAACCCAACTTATTTTGTATCTTAGGGAAAGCTTTCTTGTTGGGCCACGAAAATCATTTGTTAATTTGCATTGTACGTTATCTTAGTAACAAAAGAGTCATCCTTTATAATTTCTAGACAACAATTGACCATTAATGCCCGTCGTAACATTGTAAAAGTCCTTTGGGAGATTCATAAGCTTACACCTACACTCTGTATAACCTTTTCTATTATGTGTTCCACGTGTATCAATAACCATGATGCTAAACAACCATTTTTCTTAATATTTATTATATATTATTTAATATTTATTACATATTATTTATGACTTGAATTTAGAAAGATAAGTTTCAAAAAAATCGTGCTTGATTATTTTCCAGTTCTATTTAATTTCAACTATATCTTTGTTGTAATTATTTTATAATTATTTTAATTATATAGTTTTTTATTAGTTTATTTTGTTTTTATATAAATAAATATTTAAAAATAATTTTATTTTATTTATATTTTAATAATAAAATATACAGATATGAAATTTTTTATTTATATAATTAAAATTATTAGCTTTTAACAAAATAATATATTAATGAAATACAAATATAGAGACATAATGAATAGAAATATTTTCTATTTAATTAAGTTGAGTTAAAATCAAGTTTTGTTCTTCCATGTGGGACTAAAAAAATTGAGTTAAAATTATACTTTGGAGATGAGTTGTGTTTGTCATTAGATGACTTTTTTGAAATCATACTAGCATGGCATGATTCTATTTTCTTTAAATCATTAAAAATATTTAAAAATTGAATTTTACTTCAATTTTTTTCGTGATAACTTGTTTTAATATATATTTGATAGAATAATTTTTGTATTGGATAAAATAGTGATAAAATTAGAGATACAAAAATTTGGTGAAAAATATAATAGTAATTACGTATTTATCATATTATTATAAAATGTTAAATATATGAAGTTTGAAAGACTTGGGAAAATAATAAAATGGGATATAGAAAAAAATAATAGAAATAAGTTAGTGTGGTTCAGTGTTAACATTGTTGGAAGAATAAATTAATTTATAATTTTTTTTTTATATATTTGAATATTGTTTTGTTGACCATAAGGCATTGGTATAAAGTTTTTGAGTTTGTTTATCAATGAAATGAAGATAGCATAGTGATTGGCTGTAGGAGTGGGTATATTTAGTGATTCGAACCATAGGTGGATCAAATCTTTGCATGGTGACTGTTTGCTCTTTTATTGGTGCGTGGTGAAAGGTGAGATTTATTTCTTAAGTTTTTTTTAACAGAAAACGGAATGGGCAGTTAAAGAATATTGTTTATATCTTTTCTAATAAAATATGAACACTGTATATTTATCTTTTGGTATAATAAAAGAAAAAAATATAACAGACTGAGATATTTTTTAAAAAGATTTAGGAAGACGGTTTAGAAAACAAGAGAATATATAGAAGATAGAGTTAGGGTTGGGATTATTGGAGAGATATAAACACGGGCGAAGAGTTGAGGGGAGGATTATTTTTCGCGTTTAAGACTACTGGTAGTGTGCATCAGTGGAGAAGAAGAGACCTGGTATATTCATCTATGTTACTGGTTATATTCATATGATGTTTTAAATTGTAGTAAGTAGGTTTAGCACAGTAGGAACACATGGAAGATTTCTTATAGCTTAGGTACTGAGTGAAGACTTACCTGAAGGTGCCTGAAAGAGGGGTTGGTGACTGATTTTTTGGTGTTGGGGCTCATTAATGGGAAGTTATTGGGACAGGACAAAACCTGGGTGACCATGGGAACTGATTTCTATTACATGTACCGAATTGGTTAGTGTGTGATCATGTGGTTTAGTTGTGGTTTATGTGGTATTATATTTGTGAAAATCTATGCTTTGCATGGTTAGGGTGCGGCAGTTGTAGAATGGGTAATGCTCTGGGTTTTATTATTTCTCGTACGATGGAGAATTAGGTGTGCTTATATGTGACGATGGAATGCACGTTGGGTTATAGAAGGATGACGTTCGGAAACTTTGGGTCGCGGGAATTAGAAAATTTATGTTTGGGTTATGGCATGTGTACGTGAGAACTATGTAGTAAAAATTCACATGCAATGGTAGACTTCATTAAAGTGAATGAAAGGTTAGTGGTGGATCCATGTGGGACCCACTAAGATGAGTACATGAAGTGTCATGTGTATATTGGTAAAGGTAGGGGTGTGGAAGGCATTAAGTTTAACTTTGATATGTTAGGTTGACTTTTATAGTTTTGGTCATGGATGTGATTATTATGGTTAAGTATTTTGATCTCGGTTGGCACTTTTTCTTTCGGGAGAGTTTATTTTGTTTTGTTTATTTCTAGCTGCTACATTGGTTACTTAGAGAGTCTCTAGTGTGTTTGTCTTCACTTTAAATATATAGATGTGTTTTTTCTTGAGTTCGAATGAGTGCAACATAAATTTCATATAGGGGCTGATTTAAATAAATAAATAAATGTGTGAATGCAATGCTTGTATGAGAATGTTCAATGAGTCCCACAAATGAAAAGAAAAATGGTTATGGCTTCACGTTATTGGTGGAATTTTATACATGAATTTGCTTTATACATACATTATTTGATGCACTCTAGGAACCAATCAAGTATCATTTTGATTCAACTTAATTGCATGGCATTTATTATAGGAAAGTTTGAAACATACGTGTCAGAGTAGCAAAGGCATCAGTATTGCAGAAGAATAAACATGTACAGAGTAGCAAAGGCATCAGAATATCTTGTGATCACTGGGATTGGAATCAAAGACATAAAGCTTGCAAAAAAAGCATGGGTTTTCCCGGGCCAGTCATGCACCGTCTTCGAGCTCTCTCCAGTGAACTATACTTTTGAGGTTCAAGCCATGAGTTCGGAGAAGCTCCCTTTTATTCTCCCCGCTGTCTTCACCATTGGTCCCAGAGTCGACGACAAAGACAGCCTTCTCAAATACGCCAGACTTCTCTCTTCCCACGACAAGCTCTCTAACCACGTCAACGAGCTAGTCCAGGGTATCATCGAGGGAGAGACACGTGTCCTTGCGGCATCCATGACCATGGAGGATGTTTTCAGAGGCACCAAATCCTTTAAACAGGAAGTGTTTGACAAAGTTCAGCTGGAGCTTAACCAGTTCGGGCTTTTCATCTACAACGCCAACGTGAAGCAATTGGTGGACGTGCCTGGCCATGAGTACTTCTCTTATTTGGGTCAGAAGATTCAGATGGAGGCTGCCAACCAAGCCAAGGTTGACGTGGCAGAGGCAAAGATGAAGGGAGAGGTTGGAGCCAAGATGAGAGAGGGGGAGACGCAGCAGAACGCTGCGAGGATCAATGCTGAGACAAAGATAATATCGACCCAGAGGAATGGAGAGGGTGTGAAGGAGGAGATAAAGGTGAAGACGGAGGTGAAGGTGTTTGAAAATGAGAGAGAGGCGGTGGTGGCACAGGCTAATTCTGACCTTGCACAGAAAAAAGCTATGTGGGAAAAGACGGCGCAGGTAGCGAAAGTGGAGGCCACAAAAGCAGTGGCAATGAGGGAAGCTGAGTTGCAGAGAGAGGTAGAGAGGATGAACGCTCTCACAAGGACAGAAAAGCTTAAAGCCGAGTTCCTCAGCAAAGCAAATGTTGAGTACGAAACCAAGGTTAACTTATTTCCATTTCATCATTCATCCAATTACAATATTCTAAAAAAAAATATAATTATACATATTAATTTTAATTTAAAAATAAGTTTAGCTTACCATAGAAGAATAATTTATGAAGATACAAACCTCATTTTATAAGTCAGTTTTATGAATTGAGTTCGACTTCAAGTTCAGTGCACTTCTTAACATGGTATTAAGAATTATAGTTAGAGTTTATCTTAATTATATTTGTTATTTGCTTGGTATAATCTACCGGCTATCGAGCCTCTATCGGATCATTCGTTAATGTCTAATTTTATGATCGAGGTAATGTCTATATCTTAACAAAAGGGATGTGTTAGAAGTTTCACATCGACTAGAAATAAAGTCAATTTATAATATATAAGCGAGTGCAAACTTTACTTTAAAAGCTGGTTTTGTGAGGTTGAGTTAGGTCTAAAGTCCAGTTGTTACCATTTGTAAATGTTTCTTTTGTTTGAGAATTAGGTACAAGAGGCGAACTGGGAGTTGTACAGGAAACAAAAAGTGGCAGAAGCAAACTTGTTTGAGAAGGAAAAAGAGGCACAGGCACAGAAAGCATTGGCAGAGGCAAAATATTTCAGAGAACAAAAAGCAGCAGAGGCTGAGCTATTTGCAAAGAAAAAGGAGGCAGAGGGACTTATGTTAATGGGGCAAGCCCAAGGGGCATACTTAAGCACACTTCTTGGTGCATTGGGAGGCAACTACACTAATCTAAGGGACTACTTGATGATAAATAGTGGCATGTTTCAAGATATTGCAAGGACTAATGCAGAAGCAATTCGAGGACTTCAGCCAAAGATTAGTATTTGGAATAATGGTGGAGAAGGAAGTGATAGTGGTGTTGGAATGAAGGATGTAGCTGGTGTGTACAAAATGTTGCCACCTTTGCTTAATACAGTGCATGAGCAAACGGGTATGCTGCCACCCCCTTGGATGGGAACCCTCTCATCAGACTAAACTTCTTAAACCTTCCTCTTTTTGCTTTGATATAATAGTATGTCATAAGATAAGACTCGTTTTAGTTTTCTGGTTTTAACTTCTTTTAACAATTTGAATATATGGATCATATACATTCATTCATCGATAATCTTCTTACTTTTATTCTATTTTCATTCTTTTTACATTGATCCAAACCATCTCGGTCTAGTTAGCTTTTCTATATAATGTGAAAAGCACATCAATGTTTTTATCTAATTATGGTTAAGCTTGCTTTTGTTAATGAGAAGGAATGTTTTTATCTAATTATTTTTATCCTTTTATTAGTGGTTGAGTTTAGTTTTGTTAATGAGAAAGATAAGAAAATATTAGAAGCCAAAATTAGCGATTCAATTTAAAACCTTAGATTTTGTCTATAAATAACAACCAATTTGCATTCCCCAATCTAATTTTAATGGTGTTAAGGATATTAGAAATATTTGAATTGAACTAAATTGGTACTGAACTTAAATAATTTATATAAAAGGAAATTATTAAAAACTTACATTAGGTTATCACATTAATTTAGTTTTTAAAAATAAAATCATTCTTAAATATGACAACTTTAACATAACTTATTATACTAAAAAATAAATTTAAAAATAGAATGTTTGTTTATAATAATTCAAATAATTGAGATACTTAAAAAATTAACTAATTCAATTTCATTAAGAAATAATATATATATATATATATATATATATATATATATATATATATATATCAGCCATTATATAATTTAGACTAGTTTTATTTATTTATTTATTTAGTTTTAAAGTTAAGTTTGATACTGGTTAAATTAAATATCATACATAAAATATGTAGAGTCTGTGTTTCATTCCAATGAATCAACACTTAAAGTGAAGCGATTCGAGGGAAACATTTAAGACTTACAAGGATGAAAACAAAATATTAAAAAAAATACAGTAATCCAAAAGCAATAAATAGTAAAAAGATATAGACAATAAAATATATATATTCTCAATAAGATTTCTAGGGATTTAGAAAATTAAAGTTTAAAATATTACATACAAGAAATAATATATTTGTTTCCGATATAAAATTGTATATTTGGAGGAATGTTTATTTTCTTTTTTTGGATGCTACAATTTTTTACTATTTAAATTTAAATATAAGCTCACCTAATTGTTTTTATACTCCTAAAAAACTTTGCTCCCTCTTCACTTTCGAATAAGAACATATTAAAAACCAAAAACATAGAAAATCTTAAAAGCGTACAGAAAAACTACTTTCAAAGCTGTTTTTGAAAATGCATTATTAAACAGTTACATTCCGGAAGATTATTTCGTTATGACAAAAGCAATATAACTTTTGTGTTGTGTAAAAAAAACGTATATCTAAATAGAATAGTCAGACTAGGAGAGCTCTATTTTTCGTCGACTTATTTTATTTTTTTCAAACTTTACAAAATTATTTTATATACTTAGATCTTAAATTTTGATTTAATTTTATTTTGGATTCTCATGACTTTTTGATATTTTGAACAAATTTTGAAGTCATTTAGAGTTCGTTTAAATATATTCTTAATTTTAATCTAAGTTTGGATGTATATTGTTATGAACAACAAACAAGTTTAACAATAGCAACAAGTTCAATCAATTTATAGCCAATAAAAAATGAAAACGAAAGTTCATAATAGTTGTAATGCCTTTCCTGGTTATTAGAAAGTGAGTTTTAAGCCTAACTCATCACACAAAATCGGCTTGTAAAGTGAGGTTTGCACCTCACTTATATATTATAATTTGGCTTTATCTCTAGTCGATGTTAGACTTCCAACACACCCCGTCCGCCGAGGATAGACATCTCGTGCCGTAAGGTAGAATTAATGGGTAGTCCCGATAACGGCCTCGACAATGGGGGAAACCAGAAATGTCCCACATAAAAACTCTGCTAGATAGACTTTAACCAGGCTCTGATTCCATATGAGAAGTGAGTTTAAGTCTCAATCAACCCCAAAAAACGGCTTCAGGTTGAAGGAAAGGTGATGTTTGCACCCATAATATCTGCCCATAGCGGGTGGACAATATGCCCAATAAACACACCCAATAATTGCTAGGATAGGTTTTAACCATGACTCTGATACCATATTAGAAAGTGAGTTTTTAAGCCTAACTCATCCCCACAAAATTGGCTTGTAAGGTGAGGTTTGCACCTCACTTATATATTATAATTTGGCTTTATCTCTAGTCGATGTGGAACTTCCAACACACCCCCTTCATGCCGAGGTATAAACATCTTGTGCGTGAGAGTAGAAATTAATGGGGTGGTCCGATAGTACACACAACATGTCTATACCTTGATGTGAAGGGGGTGTGTTGGAAGTCCCACATCAACTAGAGATAAGGCCAATTCATAGTTTATAAGTGGGTGCAAACCTCACCCTACAAGCCGGTTTTGTAGGGTTGAGTTAGGCTTAAAGTTCTCTTCTAATATGGTATAAGAGCCGGTTTAGAGCCCATCCTAGCGAGTTCTAAGTGGGCATTCTATTCTTTTATTTCACACGCTATCGGGCCGTTATCGGACCACCTAATTTCTACTATCATGCACGAGATGTCTATACCTCAGCGTGAAGGGGGTGTGTTGGAAGTCTCACATCAACTAGAGATGAGGTTAATTCTTAGTTTATAAGTGGTGCAAACCTCACCCTATAACCCGATTTTGAGGGTTGAGTTAGGCTTAAAGTCCACTTCTAATATGGTATCAGAGTCTTACCTATTACAGTTCATTTCCTGGTTGTGTTGTGATGCCTTTGCATTGCTTCCTTTAGATTAATCATGTGTTAGCCATGAGCTTTGATTCATGCTAAATTTGCAAGTTGTTGTGTTATTTGTCCAATCTACACTTTTAGGTTTCTAATAGTTGCTTTTTTGTTCTTTTAATTTGATATAAATACTTAGATGAATTGTGTCAGTGCATCCCCAACTTTTGACACTTTATCCCATTGTTGAGGTTGTTGTCCATTAATTTGATTGTGAAATTTGTTGCTAGTTGAACCCCATCTTTCCTTAACTTTGTTGTTGACTTTGTTTTGATTTGATCTTTAGTTGTTGGGGTAGTTATCTAACTCTGCTATTGTTCATGAAGTGTACTGCTATTCTATGGTGGGTAGTGGTCATTCTAGTGTTCACCTACAAAAAATACATAAGAATTTGTTACACAAAGCCATGAGTTCGTGGCTTAAGCTAAACTTCATCATTTGCTTCTTTAACCCTTTTATTTGTTGAGAAATGAGTTTGTTTTATGTTAATATGACATCTTGCGTTGGAGTTAGTCTTCTTCATTAAGTGAATGATTGGTCGCAATTTTTTGGCTAGATTTGACATGAACCTAGACAAAGTGGTAATCTTACCCACTAGTCCTTAAACCACTTTAACATTTGTGGGACTTCTCATCTCAAACAATGTACGACCTTTATCTAGATTAACTTCAGTGTTCCAATGTGAGCATGAATCTTAATAACTTGCCACTTGTACGTAACACCAAAAAGACACTTCTCATTATTTAACCTCATGTCATATTTTGTATGTCGAAAATACCTCCTCCAAATCCTTGACATGTTCAACAAAATTTGACATGACAACCATATCTTCCATGCTTTTATTTATTAGATGATGGAACTTCCTGTCCATTAACCCCTCATGAGTGACTTTAACATTTTTTAACCCAAATGGCATGACTTCATAATTATAATTAACCTCCTTTATTATAAATATTATCTTCTAATTATCTTAATGGTACATTAAGATTTAATTGTAGTCAGAATAAATATCTAAAAAGCTAACAACTATGTGACCAATTACACCACTCACTAACCTGTCAATACTTGATAATGAGTATGTATCTTTGAAAAGCCTTATTAAAATCAATATAATTTGTTCACATCACATCTATTTTGATCACACTATATTGTTGAGCATATTATTTCTCTTTCATAAATCAAGTTTTCCCTAGCTTGTAGGTATATATTTTAATAATTATACTCAATTTTATTCTAATAGTACTTTCATAAATGTTTTTTTCCTATTATCAATACTAATTTTTTCATAATATCATTTTATTTTTATCATAAAAATAATTCTTACATACGTCACTTTTTTATGATAAAAAATAACAGAAATAAATTTATATAATTTAATTCTAGGTAATTTTTAATTTTTGGTAAATGATATTATAAATAGTTATTTTAGTTTAAAAAGTAGTTAGATTTTAGAAAAAAATGATAAAATTAAAAAATATAATCAAATTTACAAAAGAAATCAATTAAAAGATAAAATTGGTAAAAAAATATTTTAAAAAATATTTAAAGAGTAAAATTAAAAATAAAATATGTATACTGTTTCGGATGTGTAGGGCTGTGTTATCCTTGGATCCCACTCCTTCTATGCTCGTGTGCCTGTATCCATCCTTTGTCTTTGTTCTTTGACTTCCCTTTGATCCAGGGGTGGGACCTGCAAAAGATTCTCCGATGCCAAAGTCATTGAGATCAATGGCTTCTCTATCGAATAGCAATAAATGTGCAATGAATGCCCTATCTACCACTCACCCTGAACCTGTATTTATAGTTTTCGCTAGGGCTTGGGTAGTGAAAAGTTAATCACGGCCCAAACTCACCCAATAGCTTTTAATCTCTACTTACCTTAAACTGGCTAATTAGTAGTATGGCCGCCGGTCCTCTGGGTTTTACTCTTGGTCAGTCGGCTGGCCTTGTATATCTTGGTCGAGGTTTTAGGTTAAAAGGTCTCGGCCGGCCCATATGGCGTTATGCGCAATGAACTGTATGCCCGGCCGGACTGTATGCTGGAACCGGGTAAAATTATGTTGGAGAACGTCCGATTGTTGTACCGGTTACTTAATTAATCATCTGACTCGTTTGGTCTAACGCGATTGTTCGGCCTATCTACCGTCCAGTTTCACAGGTACACAAGCCTCAAAGCCCTAGCATACGCCTTATACGTAGGATTTAGGTTTGACATTATTGTCCGGCCTACTATCGTCCGGTACTACTGGTACATATACCAAAATTATAGATATATATATATATATATTATATGTTGTATAATCTGTTGCATTTTGGAGCAAATAATATTATCCGAGAACATGGAAGTTTTAAGATGTCTGCCACCCTTTTTTCCAAAATTTATTTTCATTCTTCTTTTTATTAAATTAAATAAATAATATTCTTCTACTTGTACTCTTTTGCTTTCTCTATCCATTTCCATTGCATCAAACACATGATAATTCCAAATTTGTGATTTACTTTTTTTATTTTAGTTTCTATACTTTTATAAAAAACAATCACTATTTTCATATAATTCTCAATTATCAATATTTATATCATTTTATTATTTTATTTTAATTAATTAAAATATTTTTCATTATATTTTAAAAATTAAATATATTTTTAGTAAGTGAGTTTTGAAAAAAATTAAAATTCGTCAATATTTCAAATTATTCATATATTTTTACTCATTAAAATTTAAAATAAAATTTAAAAATAAAGAAAAATAATTCTTTCAATCCATTTATGAATATATTTCAATTGTTAATTACATTTGTGCTAACGTTTAAATTATTTATTTTCATTTGACATGTTATTACTTTATTATCAATAAAAAATTATTTAATAAATAAATAAAATTTAATGTAATTAAATTAAAATAATTATTTATTTATTTTTTAAATTTAAACACTAAATATTTAAAGTTTTAAATGCGAAGAATTTACTAAAATTATATTTTTGGAGCTGTATTAAGTTATATACATTCAAATGAACAAAATTTACATGCAATTAATATTATTTCAAAACTAAATTTTTAACTAAAATAACGTATAAATAACAAATAAAAATCAAATTACACATAAAAATGGAAAATATTAAAATTACAATTTATAATAAAATATACAAGAACACACCTCGAAGAGTTATTCAAACAGAAAAGCTGAATCCCTCCTTGTCATTCTCTCTCCTTCGTTCTTCTACTCGCTGTTTCTGCATCTGTTTCGTCTCACATACCGGAAAGTCTCTGAAACATGTCTGGGGAAGAGGAAGAAAACGCCGCAGAGCTCAAAATTGGAGATGGTAATTAATTTTTATTTATTTACAAATTGATTTGCTTATTTGAATCGTTTTGCTAGGAAATCGATCTCTTGCCCTATATAATCAGTGTGCTTTTCGCATAGGGCTTGGGTAGTGTTTTGCAATCTTGTTACAACTTTTCAAACCAACTCTTTGTTTGTTATTTTGAACTTTTTACTTTGTGCTTCGTAAAATTTTCTGTTGAATGGTGGGGATGTTTGATGAGTATAGCATTGTGTTACAACACATATATGAATTGGGTTAACCCTAAACCCCAGATTACAAGCTCAGTTGTTTTGGTGTGTACCTTTACGAAATTCTTAGTTTTAGTCCCCTGATTTTAGGAACAGGATTGAGGAGAGTGAAAAAGGAAATAGAAAAGGGCTGAGTGAATGCCTTTTTGACCCAATGTGTGTTGCGTGAAATTAGGGACTGAGTGATGGACGCATACAATTTAAGTATTAAAATGGGATTTTCTGTATCTGAATTATTTAATTTTAAATTAACGGCCTATTGATAAATGGTTAAATGGTAAAATTTGATGCTGCTAGCAAGCGTGGCTTACCAACTGCATCACTTTACTAGTTTTGCGGTGTTAGGGTAGAAGGCTTGGTGTGCTACTAGGGCATTTAGTAACAGCATTGTGAACAAACTTAACTTATATGTTGAAGTCCATTAGGAAGTGAGTTTAAACCTAACTCATTCTCAAAAACCGACTGGTGAGATTGTTTGACTTATGTAGTGTAAATTGATTTTATTTCTATTTGATGTAGGATCTTCAATATACTCACTTCATATCGAGGTATGAACATCTCATGTGTGGAACTAGATATTTATAGGTGGTCTAAGTGATACAATAGACCTACAAACCTAACTAAGATATATTTTGATAACATATTAGAAAGTGAATTTTGGCCTTATTTCTTGTTGATGTGGGGTTTTTACAAAGGCCAAGCAATTGGTGGAGTTTCTCTATGATCAATGTCTTTGTTATATTTGCTCAACTTTTGGCTATATTATCCCCTGATTTGAGTTCTGTTATTCCTTGCTAATGCTGAGGTAGTGTCTAAATGTTGAGGGCTTGTGGGTGTTACATCACCAGATCCAATGATTCTGCTATATAGATGGTTTATTGTATCATATCATGCTTGAATGCTTGAACATGTTTTATGTTGGTATATTTGTTTGCAGCTTTTTTATCTCACAATAATGCAATCTGTTTTTTTTCTTCAGAGTTTGTTGAAGGCAAAGTGCTTAATGAAACTGTGAAGTTTCATTGATTCTTGGCACAAGTACGAGCAACTTCAACAGACATCTGATGATCCCATGAATCAAGTTTCTCAGTGAGTTGAATACTTTATCAAGTTCATGGTTATTTGACACAAAGGTCCTCAATAGCATCTTTTCCTGATGCCCTCAAAATAATTAGTTTTTATGACAATTGGGTTGCACTTAACTCCTCCAAGATTTTATCTTTTATGACACAGCTGAAAAATATGTTTAACTTTTTTCATTTAAATGTTGCAACATTAGTGTCATACAACATGTTGGCAAACATCGTGGTCCCAATTGAATTTTTTGCCTCATGTAGATTTGATATTGATAATGAGATGGAAGAGGAGCAAAGCAGTTGATCACCTAATGACTCTGATTCTTTTTCTCTTCTGTTTTAGGGTATTTGAAAAGTCCTTGCAGTATGTGAAGCGATTCAGCCGCTATAAAAATCCGGATGCTGTTAGACAATTCGAGAGTATCCTCCAAACTAAATTAAATAATCCATCTATCATTTTCCTTTATCACACATTTAATTTTGTCAAATCAGATCGATTCATACATAAAAATATTGATCTAAGTTTCTTTCATAGCATTTTGACTTTTGTATTGTCTATGTTCTTGATAGATTAAAAATACTTTTGTATCTCATTTAGTACATCTTACAAAGTGTGGTCTGTGCTAATTCCTCTTTACTGAAAATAAATCAAAGAAACTTGACATTTATTTCCTTACTGGAATTTGATCTTAACTAACGTCAGAATACTTGCAAGATCAATTGGCTGAGTTTGAGGTAATACAACTATTTCGTTCATGAATTTAGTTAGGGATGCAAGTGTTCACTTTTATATATATATATATATATATATATATATATATATATATATATGTATATAAAGAAGTTGAGTTACCAGTTTCAGTTTCAGACAGTACAATATATGATTTTTTTGTCTAAATGAATCTGTTGCAGTTGTGTGTCCTTGGCAACCTTTGCCCAGAAACTGTGGAGGAAGCCATTGCTATGGTTCCATCTATCAAGGTAAAAGTAATTTGCTTCCCCCTTTCTCTGTGTTAGGTAGGATTTTCTTTGTGGGAGTAGGCAAAGTTTAAGTGCTTTCCATTCTCCCTTTCATGCTAGTTAGAATAAGGAGGTAGTGATTAAATAAAAGCAAAATATGGTATATGGTTTCTATAATTTTCTGCTCTTATAACTCAAATTCAGTTTAGACAAGTAAGTTTGAAAACCAGTAAGGGTGTAAAGTAATTTATTTTACTAAGACTTGAAGTGACACAGAGAAAGTAATACTGATAATGAAGGATTATAGTACGTATTCGAGGTAAAGATTAAATACCTTCATTTTCTCCGCATCCATGTTATATGATAAAGAAGGATAGAGGTTTTAATTAGGGCAAGGATGATATTTTTAAAATAAGTTTATGTTCTTATTGCTAAAATTCAATTTTGACAACCTAAGTTTGAAATATCAGAGATAATTGAACTAGAGCAAATATAATTGTTTTTATTATAAATTTCTTCGGATTAAAATTCATTTTTGACAAGCAAAGTTTGAACACCAAAGGGTATAAAGTAATTTATTCCAAAACAACCGTTAGTGATAACTAAAAAAAGAGTAAATGCGGATAGTTGAAGGATTTGGTATGTTTCTAGAGATCTTTTATTTTACTTCTTAAATCCCCTCTGAAACCCTCCCTTCATTGATCCACCCCTAGCATAACATATTGGGTTTACTAGTTCCCGTCATTTATTGTAACCTCACTAGCTTACCATCTGCCACGTTCTTACTTTGAAATATATTCATTCCCTATTGGGTTGCTGTGTAGCTAATATATCTGAATAGTAACGTAACTGCCATTAATCATTTACGTCAATTGCTCTATTCTTTTACCTGCAGACAAGAGGAACGGGCTCAGGATGATGAAGCAATTGAGAAAATGCTGAATGACTTGTCATTGATTAAGAATTTGAATAAATATTTCTTACAGTGGGTTTGTATACGTTACTGTCACTCATCGGATGCAAGCAAAAATTCTTGTGGTTTGTATACAGAAACATGGATAATATCTAGTTTTTGTGACTCTATTCTAAGAAGGATTTTGGACACATGCATGCTGTGTATGAAAGTGGCTTTGGCTTATGATGTGGTTAGGTGTTCTATAGCCATCTATTTATGCAGATTGATATTATACATTAAGTGGTCAAGTGCAAAATGAAGCTTTATGTAAGTCTTGGTTCCTACGAATGTACATGGCCTAGAAGTTAACAGTCGTCGAATACGAACAAATTTTGGCATTTGTTAAGCGTGCTCAAACTCAAAAGTCCTTTGCAATGCCTTTATTTTGCTTAATATGCATTACCTTTTAAACATAGTCGTCTGTTTAGGAAACTCAATAATCTTTACCAATAACCTGAAGGAGAAAGATTGTCAGGAACAATAATTAAAATAGAAGTCATAGGAAATTATCAAAATGAAGAGCATTAGGTCTTTTAGGGTCCACTCTGTTGTAGCAAGTTTCAGTGATTATGAGAAGATTTTAAGAAGTAAACTATAGGTATCAGAAGGAGATTCAATCCCTTTAGAAAGTAAAACCTTAATAAAAAACGGGGAAAGTATAGCTAAAAGAAGGGGGAGGAAATGGTTATCCTTCTTACACCAAAGAAACAGAAGAAAAATATAGATTAGTGTTTTGCATCTGCAATTGTTGCATTAGAAAAGATGAATGACTTGGTTTATGTCATGTATAAATTGAAGGTAAAAAAACATTAGTAAAATGGAGATAAATGGATAAATGAAGATGGAGATGATGTTGGGATTGGGCCAGTTTAAGATGAAGGTGACTAGGGAAATGCTGACATAGCTGGACCAAGTTTAATTTATCCTACTCTAAAGGCATTTGATCTTGATAATATAGTTTTTTATACTAATACCCTTGCAAATAATGTTACCAAATAATGTGAAAAAAAAAATGTTAGTTAGTACTTTAACAACCATGGTCTAAGAATGAATAAATAAATATATTCATCAGATTTCACTCTTGAAAGTATATTAGTCCACTTATTCTTTTTTATTTTTCTTCAAGTAAAAAGAAAACTATTATTTTTCAGATTTTACTCTTCAACAAAACAATCTGATAACAAATCTTGTGTATCACGTATATTAAAATAAACAAATAAATAAATAAAACGGGAAAGAGGTTCCATAAGCATAATTTTGTATCACTTTTTTTAGTACATATTCCAAGTTAAAATTCATGAAAATCAGATCCATTTTAAAATGAAGAATCCATTAATTAAAAAATAAAACCTGCCTACTTAATAAGATAATTGTAGTGGTTTTTAATCCAAGTTCAGTTGTTTCGAAATAATGATTAATTTAATGTAATTGGATCGAATCCTAGCTAAATTTAAGCTATAGTCAAATACACAAGATGCTCAACCAAACACGTTGTTACACATCACTCAATAATAGAGTTTGCCATTAAAACAAGAGTATTGAAAACGTGATACACACAAAAAACATGCTTTTGTGACATTGGTTCGCTTTATCCTACAATTTGTGCCTGACCATTATTTATGTGCACATTAAAACACTAACATGCCCCACATGATGCAAAGAAAATCAACAGTGCAAGCCATAACTAAATAGAAGGCCACCTCAGTAATGTCATAAAGCATTCTTTGTATACTTGTAATTTGATACTAAATTATTTCGATTTCTTTAATTTCTATTTTTTATTTTAGTTTTTTATGGATTTTTTTTATAATTTTGGTCTTTATATTTGATAAAACCAATCATTTTGGCCCGATATTTAATTTTATATACTCTTATCTGCACTCAGCATGTTCATTTAAAAAGCATTAAAAAATGGTTTACTTTTCCTAAGACATAATTTGATTAATTAAAAAGTAAAATAACGAACCAAATAATCCATGTTAAACTAAAGATTGAATTAAAATTACTATTGTTTTAAAGCACAGAAACTAAAATCAGAAAAACCAAAGGGAAGACCAAGTCTCCTCAAGAGCCCAAGAGACCAAAATTATAATCAATCAAAACTTTATTATTATAATTCTTAGTGAACAATAAAAATATATATTATTTATTTTTCTTTTTATGACAACATATATAAAAGATTGAAATGTTAAATTTAAAAATTAATATAAAAAAATTAACATATCTAATATCTTTAAAATTTTAAATTAAAAGTGATATCTATTTATATATATATATATATATTCTATATTATATATATATTATCATATATATCTATATTATATATATATCTATATATATATATTATACTATTAACTTGTCGGGCATATATATTACTAATAAATTAGAGCACACTTTCCTGTGTATTGTGTGCACGATCTACGGATATGTCCGAAGTTAAAAAAAAAGTTATATACTCCACAAACTGAAAAAATAACTCCATGCATTCCCTTTGAGTGGCGGTGCTCTCCTTTAGGTTGTGTCTCTCTCTTGGGTAAAAATGGTTGGCTATTTATATATATGTAAGCTTTTAATTAAATGAGATTGACCAGGTTTAATTAATCTAATACTCCTACGATATAGGGTGATACTAAAATGTTTTTCTACAATGTAATTAATATAGAAATTGACTTGTTTATCGAAAATACAAGTAGAAAGTGGTTATTAACTACTCTACCCA